CAGGTGGCTGAGGAGAGACCACATGGTGAGAAGGGGATGACAGAATAAAGAGAAACACAATCGGAGAAGTGGCTCACAGGGTCTGGATGCTGTGTAGTGAGCTGAAGGTGCCTTTTGCCAGGGTCTGAAGCTTGTTGTCGTACAGTGACAGCAGAGCCAGGTTCTCCAGGTCTTTGAACACCAAGGCCCGAATACAGTGGATCTTATTAGCATTCAGCAACCTACACAATGTTACGAAAAGCAGACTCAGCAGAAAGTTTCATGGTAGAGTAGTTAAATAAGTTTTTGTTTTCAAGTGGCTCCGAACAAATGAGAGTTTTAACTGGAGGAATACCATGTTGGTGAAGGTTAGCATTAGTCCTCTTGATTAATACTAGTACCATTAGTTAGGATAAAGCATGGGAAGCTTTGAAAAGGAGAAGGATGGGACAACAGTGAACTGTGGGATAGCAGGGAGGTGTGAGAAGGCAGGAAGGTGTGAGTCAGCAGGAAGGTGTGAGACAGCAGTGAGGTGTGAGACAGCAGGAAGGAGTGAGACAGCAGTGAGGTGTGAGACAGCAGGAAGGTGTGAGACAGCAGTGAGGTGTGAGACAGCAGGAAGGTGTGAGACAGCAGTGAGGTGTGAGTCAGCAGGAAGGTGTGAGACAGCAGTGAGGTGTGAGACAGCAGGAAGGTGTGAGACAGCAGTGAGGTGTGAGACAGCAGGAAGGTGTGAGACAGCAGTGAGGTGTGAGACAGCAGGAAGGTGTGAGTCAGCAGGAAGGTGTGAGACAACAGTGAGGTGTGAGACAGCAGGAAGGTGTGAGACAGCAGTGAGGTGTGAGACAGCAGGGATGTGTGAGAAGGCAGTGAGGTGTGAGACAGCAGGAAGGTGTGAGACAGCAGTGAGGTGTGAGACAGCAGTGAGGTGTGAGACAGCAGGAAGGTGTGAGACAGCAGGAAGGTGTGAGACAGCAGTGAGGTGTGAGTCAGCAGGAAGGTGTGAGACAGCAGTGAGGTGTGAGACAGCAGGAAGGTGTGAGACAGCAGTGAGGTGTGAGACAGCAGGAAGGTGTGAGACAGCAGTGAGGTGTGAGACAGCAGTGAGGTGTGAGACAGCAGTGAGGTGTGAGTCAGCAGGAAGGTGTGAGACAGCAGTGAGGTGTGAGACAGCAGTGAGGTGTGAGACAGCAGTGAGGTGTGAGTCAGCAGGAAGGTGTGAGACAGCAGTGAGGTGTGAGACAGCAGTGAGGTGTGAGTCAGCAGGAAGGTGTGAGACAGCAGTGAGGTGTGAGTCAGCAGGAAGGTGTGAGACAGCAGGAAGGTGTGAGACAGCAGGAAGGTGTGAGACAGCAGTGAGGTGTGAGACAGCAGTGAGGTGTGAGACAGCAGTGAGGTGTGAGTCAGCAGGAAGGTGTGAGACAGCAGTGAGGTGTGAGTCAGCAGGAAGGTGTGAGACAGCAGTGAGGTGTGAGACAGCAGTGAGGTGTGAGACAGCAGGAAGGTGTGAGACAGCAGGAAGGTGTGAGTCAGCAGGAAGGTGTGAGACAGCAGTGAGGTGTGAGACAGCAGTGAGGTGTGAGTCAGAAGGAAGGTGTGAGACAGCAGTGAGGTGTGAGACAGCAGTGAGGTGTGAGTCAGCAGGAAGGTGTGAGACAGCAGTGAGGTGTGAGTCAGCAGGAAGGTGTGAGACAGCAGTGAGGTGTGAGACAGCAGGAAGGTGTGAGACAGCAGTGAGGTGTGAGATAGCAGGAAGGTGTGAGACAGCAGTGAGGTGTGAGACAGCAGGAAGGTGTGAGTCAGCAGGAAGGTGTGAGACAGCAGTGAGGTGTGAGACAGCAGGAAGGTGTGAGACAGCAGTGAGGTGTGAGACAGCAGGAAGGTGTGAGACAGCAGTGACGTGTGAGTCAGCAGGAAGGTGTGAGACAGCAGTGAGGTGTGAGACAGCAGTGAGGTGTGATACAGCAGGAAGGTGTGAGACAGCAGTGAGGTGTGATACAGCAGGAAGGTGTGAGACAGCAGGAAGGTGTGAGACAGCAGGAAGGTGTGAATCAGCAGGAAGGTGTGAGGCAGCAGTGAGGTGTGAGACAGCAGGAAGGTGTGAGACAGCAGTGAGGTGTGAGACAGCAGGAAGGTCTGAGTCAGAAGGAAGGTGTGAGACAGCAGGAAGGTGTGAGACAGCAGGAAGGTGTGAGACAGCAGGAAGGTGTGAGACAGCAGTGAGGTGTGATACAGCAGGAAGGTGTGAGACAGCAGTGAGGTGTGATACAGCAGGAAGGTGTGAGACAGCAGGAAGGTGTGAGACAGCAGGAAGGTGTGAATCAGCAGGAAGGTGTGAGGCAGCAGTGAGGTGTGAGACAGCAGGAAGGTGTGAGACAGCAGTGAGGTGTGAGACAGCAGGAAGGTCTGAGTCAGAAGGAAGGTGTGAGACAGCAGGAAGGTGTGAGACAGCAGGAAGGTGTGAGACAACAGTGAGGTGTGAGTCAGCAGGAAGGTGTGAGACAGCAGTGAGGTGTGAGACAGCAGGAAGGTGTGAGACAGCAGTGAGGTGTGAGACAGCAGGGATGTGTGAGAAGGCAGTGAGGTGTGAGACAGCAGGAAGGTGTGAGACAGCAGTGAGGTGTGAGACAGCAGTGAGGTGTGAGACAGCAGGGATGTGTGAGACAGCAGGGATGTGTGAGACAGCAGTGAGGTGTGAGACAGCAGTGAGGTGTGAGACAGCAGGGATGTGTGAGAAGGCAGTGAGGTGTGAGACAGCAGGAAGGTGTGAGACAGCAGTGAGGTGTGAGACAGCAGTGAGGTGTGAGACAGCAGTGGGGTGTGAGACAGCAGGAAGGTGTGAGACAGCAGTGAGGTGTGAGACAGCAGTGAGGTGTGAGACAGCAGGAAGGTGTGAGACAGCAGTGAGGTGTGAGACAGCAGTGAGGTGTGAGACAGCAGTGAGGTGTGAGACAGCAGGAAGGTGTGAGACAGCAGTGAGGTGTGAGACAGCGGTGTAGCACGGTGGATTGTGGCTACATAATATTAAATCTATGAGATGTGATGTTCCATATAAATATAAATGATCCGTCTGATTGGTGTTGTAATGTTTGCTCTAGGGTTACTTTAGGTATTCAGGGAAAACACTTCATATTAGATCAGAGTCAAGAATATAATTTATAAAAATGTGTTTAATTCTATCGTTCTAAACTAATGATCATACAGGACACAGTATGAATGAAATGATGGAATGTGAGCTGGATGTTTGTTAGGCATCTTTTGGTTTTCCACAAATTTCACACTCGTGAAACACAAAAACACAGGAGGGTTTACTTTGAGCCAGTGGCGGCTCCAGAGATGTTTTTCTGCAGGTGCTATGAAGGAGCTAGTCTTTTTATTGAGGGTGTTATGAAGGAAGTGGTCATGCGTACCTATTGTTCTCTAAAACACCTTCAACACTAGCAGATACACATGCGTGCACAACACCTCAACAACACCTGAAACAATCATTAACACACATCATAAACATATGAACAATCGCTGACTTTTCCATGAAATCATAAACACATACAGCCACACAGAAAACCATCTATAGTGTTACAAGGTTAGCTAACGTTAGCATTTCCAGCGGCAAAACCCTGGACTGCTGCGGCGGTTGAGGGTTGGCTCTCTTCATCCAGATCCGTAGGTGTTTGTGGGTCTGAGATCACTTCCAAACATTCATTCGTTTCTGACTGAACCCGTGGAAATGTGGGCAACAAAACCCGATCCATTTTACCGCTAGCTCTACCTTTCACTCGTTCACAGGTGGAAAATAAGGTCAAAGGTTAACATCAATTTCCTGTTTTGGTTTAAGTTTTTACTATCTATATGATAATTTACTGATTATTTTTGTTTTGTATGTTAAATATTATCACATCCACACGTTACATTAAAATTAAGTTGTAAAAAAAAAATCTTATGTTTACTTGGGGGTGCGATGGGGGTGCAATGACTAATCCAGGGGAAGCTATAGCGCCCCCTGGCGCCGCCACTGCTTTGAGCAGCTGGAGCAAAACGGCCAACTTCTCTGTAGCGTGGCACATGAAATGTTTAATGGGAAAGATGTTCAGATAAAAGTCAAAACGAGCGGACTCACAGCAGCTCCAGAGAGACCAGGCCATCAAACACTCCGCCGGGCAGCTCCGTGATCTTATTCCCGTACAGAATTCTGCACACAGAAGTAAAAAAGGAGAGAGACCCGGGCTTCAGAGAGACACAAGCTGTAACAATAATAGTACATGTTATTTAAAAGCGCCTTTCTTTACACCCAAGGACACTTTGCAGCGACGGGAAAAAATAAACAAGATCAACACAGAAATATACAAAAACACTAAGATGTGAAAATAAAAACAATGAAATTCAAACTAGGTGCTAAAAGCTTGTCTGAGGAGGTTTTTTAGACACTTTAGACAGGTCAGGTCGGTTGTGCTGAGGTCCACACGTGCAAACACAGCAGACCAGCAGACCAGCAGAACATCGTTCACAGAAAAGGAAAACAGGTTTGTTGCAGGACTCAAGACTCACAGAGAGTTCAGCGCTCGGAGGCCGTGGAAGGCATCAGGAGCTATCTCAGATATCTGGTTGTTACTCAGGTCTCTGCAGACAAAACCAGGATGAAAAAGATCAGAAACATCTTCAGACACTTCTGATGCAACTACAGTCTGTTTCCACCTCACAGCACCAGTTCATGACCCAAAGGAGCAACCAGCTATGAGAGACCAGAGACCAGGACAAAGGTTCAGCGTTCAGACACTTGAGGGTTAGTCTTCGGAAGGGGGACAATAAACCTAAATGTTTCTGTACAGCAGCAGAACTGATGGCTACTTCCAGCAGGATAATACCCGTCATACAGCTCGAATCATCTCAGACTGGCTTTTTTAACATTACAATGATTTAGCTGTACTCAAATGGCCTCCACAGTCACCGGATCTCAGCCCAGTAGAGCAGCTTGGGGATGTGGTGCAAAGGGAGATTCGCATCATGGATGTGCAAACGACACATCTGCAGCATCTCCGTGATGCTCTCATGTCAATATGGACCAAGATCTCTGAGGAATGTTTCCAGTACCTTGTTGAATCTATCCCACGAGGGATTGAAGCAGTTCTGAAGGCAAAAGGGGGTCCAACCCGGTACTAGCAAGGTGTACCCAATAAAGTGGCCAGTGAGAGTAGACCTCATGTGGTTCAAAAAACTTCTATCAACAATATTTGACTCTAAGTAAATGTGTCTAAATTTAAAGGTTATAAAAGTAATCAGCACTGGTTTGTGCTGTTCTTCATGTCCTAGCAGGCATACGCACGTTCTTATTAACACATTTAAGTTAATAAAACCCAGTTATTAGTGAAATATGAGAAGGATTTTTTAATGAGATAACTTCACAATGGTTCTTTGATTTGAGAGACCAGGTTTGGGTTCGGTTTGGTCTGGACCTCCAAGTCCTGGCTCTGTTGCCACATGTCAGTGGCCGAGGTCAGGGTTTAAGGCACACCTCTTCCACCAGCCTGGTGCAGTAATAAACCAGCCCTGAGACCCTCTGAGAGAGAAGGAAAACCACCGAACCGCACAAAGACACAAGGACACCTGGAGACGTAAACAAGAAAACAGACGAAAGCAAAACCACAAAACGGATCAAGACGTTGTTGTGGACAGACTTTTCATTCCTGAAACGTACAAAAGGTATGTGGCTGAAATGTGTTCATCACCTGTGACCTCTGAAGATCTTTGATTGGTGACGATATCCAAGTGTTGCTTATCTAAGTCGTATGTTCTGTGCTGTCGACAATCCACCAGGGCTGGACGTTACACCAGAGAAGATCTGACGTTCAGATCAGCCGACGCCGTTTACAGATCACCTCGCGCTTGTCTTGGGTAAAGATCGCGACTGCAGGAGACTCATGTGACCTTGGTGGCCTCATCAGGGACTCCTGTCAGTGTGTGTGTTCAGACAACACTGTATAGCCCCAGTTTCACATGGCTCTCCCCCAAAATGAAGAGGTTTTCTACGGTTTATATGGCCTGTATGCAGGGGTGGACTGACTATCTGGAGCACCGGGAGCCGTCCCGGTGGGCCGCCGGCCACCGGGCCGGTCTGACATTTATTAAATATTTCATTCATTCATTCATTCATTCATCCACTCGTTGACTTCGTCTTTCTCTCTCGCCCTCATATTTCTTACAAATTGGGCCGGCCAATAGGTTACTGAGGCTAGCAGTGTGTTGCCCACACCAAGATGTATGTTGGTCTGTTAAACAATAAAACACGGAAGGATGCTTTCCCCCTTCCCTGCACTGAGGAGTCATTGGATGCTCTTTCAGGGGGTCAGTGGTTTTCCACCATGGATTTGGCTAGTGGCTACCATCAGGTTGAGTGACTAAGCATTTGGGCCTTTTGAATTCCAGAGAATGCTCTTTGGTCTATGCCAGGGGTCGGCAACCGCGGCTCTGGAGCCGCATGCGGCTCTTCCATCCATCTGATGCGGCTCTCTGTGCTTGTAAAATAATGAATGGATATTTAAATAAAATGCTTTATATTTTACTGCATTAATTTTACATCTGTATGCCAATTCTAAATGTAAAGATTGTCTGCGTAAACCTGAACAGGTCCAACCCGGTCTTACTGTGAGACCGGGTTGACGGGTCACGCTTGTGCGTAATCATATCGGCGCTTCCTGAGCTGAAGAGGACGTGAGATTCTGGGATTCTCCTCAGACGGCTCCTGGATGTGTCGCCACATTGGAGACAGGAACAAGCGCTATTCAGCCAAAGTTTCATAATCAGGGAACATTTTCTAAGTGACAAGTCTCGCTTCAGTCGGAGGAATCTTCCTGCATGCGCTCTGGTTCTGCGACGCGCTCCAAGCCCCTCTCCACATCTTCAGCTCGCTGTGGACCTTATGTAGTACGCACTGACAGCGAGCTGCGCTGAGCAGTGTCCAGCTCAGATGTTCAGATGGGAATCTTTTCTTGAGTGATTTAGCTACATCTGCGATGTGCGAAACGAATAAAGTGTCAGTTCGTCTGCATGCGTCGGGGTAATTCTTTCTATTCTTTCTCCGTCAAAAAAAGGTAAAATACGGGAACTGTCCGGTCAACACAAGCCCTGATTTCAACTGTTCTGTTTTCTTATGAAAATCGTTGCAAAGAGATAAAACTAAACTGGATTACCAGCAGAACCAGGCACACTGCACCGTTATCTCCGTCACTGTAAATGAGGATCTTTTCTGACCTTCCCCACCTACAAAGTTTAATTACAACAATCAAACGTGACAGAGCCTGGATTTGTATTCTGAACAGTCTAAACGTGTTTTAAAAAGAAACGTGTGACAAAAGTGGCACCTGCTCAGTAAAACCACCAACAGGGAGAAAAATATCTAAATGCTGTAGCACAGACACAACTTCTGGATCCATTTTATATAAACAGTTTTATTGATTATCTTCTGTTGAAAGATAACTTTGACGTACACGAGCGACCAGTATTAGCTGCTGTCACCTGCTGTGATTGGTTAAAGCAGCTCTCTGCTGTGGCTCCCAGTGTTTACTGTGGGAAACACGTAATAATGGCTCTTTGATGGGAACAGGTTGCCGACCCCTGGTCTATGCAATGCACCCAGTACCTTCCAGCAGCTGATGGAGAGGATGTTTGCAGACCAACATTGCCACTCACTGTTGTTGTACTTGGATGACAATGTTGTCTTTTCTTCTTCAGTGGATGATCATCTGACTCGTTTGGATTTGGTTTTGGGCCGATTGCAGCAACAAGGGCTCAAGGTCAAACTGGAGAAATGCAGATTCTTTCAACGCCATGTACAGTGTCTGGGTCATGTGGGGTCAGCTGCTGGAGTAGCCACTGACCCCAGGAAGCTGGCTGCAGTGGCTGAGTGGCCAACACCAAAGACAGCACCAGAATTAAGATCATTTTTAGGGTTTGCAAACTACTACAGGCGGTTCGTCAAAGGGTTTGCTAAAGTAGCAGCCCCTCTCCACCAGCTGGTGACTGACCTCACAAAAAAGAAAAAACGTGGTGGGAAGGTGGCTTTAACAGATGAGTGGATCGCCTGGACTGAAGCCAGCTTTCAGGACCTTAAAGCACGGTTAGTGTCCTCACCAGTGTTGGCGTATGATAACTTCAGTATTCCCTTCATCCTAGAGGTGGATGCCAGCCATGAGGGACTGGGAGCAGTCGTCTCCCAGGAGCAGGGGGGTAAAGTGAGGCCTATTGCCTATGCCAACAGAAGTCTCTACCTGGCTGAGAAGAACTATAGCTCAATGAAACTTGAGTTTCTGGCAATGAAATGGGCCATGACACAAAAATTCAGAGAATATCTTCTGGGCCAAAGGTGTGTGGTGTGGACAGACAATAACCCCCTAAGTCACTTAAATACAGCCTAGCTTGGGGCTACAGACCAATGTTGGGTGTTGGAATTGGCCTTGTTTGACTACACAGTATGCTGTCGTCCAAGTCGCAGAAACCAGAACGCCAATGTACTGTCCAGACAAACCCTCCCTCCGATGGAAGTAAGGGTAGAACCAACTTGTTCTGGAACGGTTGCATCAAAAGAGCTGAAAAGGAAACAGAATGGCATTTCAGGGGCCATTTCTGCAGCACCAGAACGTTCAACAGAAAATGTGGTGGTCCTGCAGGAGGCTGATCCTGTTATAAATACTGTCATTTCTTTACTTTTGCAAAAGCGCTTCCCCAGCAGGTCAGAGAGGCAGAGCCTTTCCCCTGCTGCATCAGGATTACTGCGCCAATGGGATTGTCTGGTGCTGAAGGAGGGACTGTTGCATCGGAGGTTCCTGCGTCCCGATGGGGGTGAGTCTGTGCTGCAACTGGTGTTACCCGAATGCCCACAGAAGGAAGTTTTCCAACAGCTGCACATCTACCATGGGCACCAGGGAGCTGAAAGAACAATGGAGCTAATCTGCCAGCGCTGCTATTGGCCTGCTATGGGGAGGATGATTAAAGATTGGTGGCAGAGATGCAACAGGTGCAGTGGGGCCAAAAACACTCAGCCCTATGTTTGGGCCTCTATGAAACACCTACTGGCACTTGACTTTTCTCTGCTGGAACCTGCACAAGATGGCCAGGAGCAAGTGCTAGTGATGACTGATGTCTTCTCTCATTTCAGCCAGGTCATTCCAACTCGGGACCGGCGAGCTTCAACAGTTGCAGAGGTATTGGTTGAGGAACGGTTCTACGAGTATGGAGTGCTGGCTCGGTTACACTCTGACCAGGGCCGAAGCTTTGAGAACACCATAGTCCAACCACTTTGCCACTTTTATGGCATTCATAAGACTAGAACTACCCTATACCACCAGCAGGGAAATGGCCAGTGTGAGCGCTTCGCGCTCTGTCTACTCTGTCCTTGGAAGATTTACATCTTCGATATCTGAAGAGTTCTTGTGGATAGTACTGATGTTATTGTAGATTTCTGGAATGCTACTTTTTATTAGAATGTTAGAAACTTACAGAACACATATACAGTCTGTGATAAATGGACAAACTGCTTGCCATATAAATATGCCAGTGAGAGTTGGACTCCGCCAAGGCTGCCATTTGTCACCGATTCTGTTCATAACCTTTATGGACAGGAATTCTAGGTGCAGCCAAGGTGTTGAGGGCATCCGTTTTGGCAGCCTGAGCATCAGGTCTGCTTTTTGCAGATGATGTGGTCCTGTTGGCTTCATCAGAACGTGATCTTCAGCTTTTGCTGGAGCGGTTCACAGCCGAGTGTGAAGCAGCTGGGATGAGAATCAGCTCCTCTAAATCTGAGACCATGGTCTTGAGTCGGAAAAGGGTAGAATGCCTTCTCCGGGTCAGGAATGAGGTCCTGCCCCAAGTGGAGGAGTTTAAGTATCTCGGGGTCTTGTTCACGAGTGAGGGAAAACTGGAGCGTGAGATCGATAGGCGGATCGGTGCTGCATCTGCAGTGATGCGGGCGTTGTACCGGTCTGTCGTGGTGAAGAGAGTGCTGAGTCAGAAGGTGAAGCTCTCGATTTACCGGTCGGTCTACGTTCCTACCCTCACCTATGGTCATGAGCTTTGGGTAGTGACCGAAAGAACGAGATCACGGATACAAGCGGCCGAAATGAGTTTTCTCCGCAGAGTGGTTGGGCTCTCCCTTAGAGATAGGGTGAGAAGATCGGTCATCCGGGAGGGGCTCGGAGTAGACCCGCTGCTCCTCCACATCGAGAGGAGCCAGTTGAGGTGGCTCGGGCATCTGGTCAGGATGCCTCCTGGACGCCTCCCTGGTGAGGTTTTCTGGGCACGTCCAACCAGGAGGAGGCCTAAAGGTAGACCCAGGACACGGTGGAGGGACTATGTCTCTCACCTGTCCAGGGAACACCTTGGGATTCCCCCGGAGGAGCTGGCCCAAGTGGCTGGGGAGAGGGAAGTCTGGGCCTCTCGCCTTAGGCTACTGCCCCCACGACCGACTCCGGATAAGCAGATGAAAATGGATGGACACACACACACGCGCGCACACACACACACACACACACACACACACACACACACACACACACACACACACACATAAGCACACACACACACACACAAATGTCATTCTAATACAAGTCATTTTAGTTTTAAATAAATTATAAAATTTGAAATCAGCTTTGGTCTTTAGTTTGTTCTCATGGAATAACGGATGGTGGACCTCGGTAATTTTGAAACCCCTGCTTGTCTCTGTTCCCAGGAGCGATATCCACCCTAAAGTAAATGGTTTGTGCACAGCTGTGAGAAAAGGGTTCGTTGAAGAACTCACATCCGACGAAGCTTCTTGTAGGAGATGAAAGAGCCGGGAGGAACCGACTTGATGCCGTTCTGTTCCAGACGACTGGAGGAAGAAAAAACACAAATAATCATTACATATATGATTATACATACATATAAATATATATATATATATATATATATATATATATATATATATATATATATATATATACATATACATATATATATATATACATATACATATATATATATATATATATATATATTTATATGTATATATATATATATATATATATATATATATATATATATATACATATATAAACATACAATGGTGTGAAAAACTGTTTGCCCCCTTCCTGATTTCTTATTCTTTTGCATGTTTGTCACACAAAATGTTTCTGATCATCAAACACATTTAACCGTTAGTCAAAGATAACACAAGTAAACACATAATGCAGTTTTGAAATGATGGTTTTTATTATTTAGGGAGAGAACAAGATCCAAACCTACATTGCCCTGTGTGATAAAGTAATTGTCCCCTGAACCTAATAACTGGTTGGGCCTCCATTAGCAGCAATAACTGCAATCAAGCATTTGCGATAACTTGCTACGAGTCTTTTACAGCGCTCTGGAGGAATTTTGGCCCACTCATCTTTGCAGAATTGTTGTAATTCAGCTTTATTTGAGGGTTTTCCAGCATGAACCACCTTTTTAAGGTCATGCCATAGCATCTCAACAGGATTCAGGTCAGGACTTTGACTAGGCCACTCCAAAGTCTCCATTTTGTTGTTCTTCAGCCATTCAGAGGTGGATTTGCTGGTGTGTTTTGGGTCATTGTCCTGCTGCAGCACCCAAGATGGCTTCAGCTTTAGTTGACCAACAGATGGCCGGACGTTCTCCTTCAGGATGTTCTGGTAGACGGTAGAATTCATGGTTCCATTTATCACAGCAAGCCTTCCAGTTCCTGAAGCAGCAAAACAACCCCAGACCATCACACTACCACCACCATATTTTATTGTTGGTATGATGTTCTTTGTCTGAAATGCTGTGTTACTTCTACGCCAGATGTAACGGGACAAACAGTTCAACTGTTGTCTCATCGGTCCACGAGGTATTTCCCCAAAAGTCTTGGCAATCATTGAGATGTTTCTTAGCAAAACTGAGACCAGCCCTAATGTTCTCTTTGCTTAACAGCGGTCTTTGTCTTGGAAAACTGCCATGAAGGCCATTTTGGCCCAGTCTCTTTCTGATGGTGGAGTCGTGAACTTTGACCTTAACTGAGGCAAGCGAGGCCTGCAGCTCTTTAGAAGTTGTCCTGGGGTCTTTTGTGACCTCTCGGATGAGTTGTCTCTGCGCTCTTGGGGTAATTTTGGTCGGCCGCCCACTCCTGGGAAGGTTCACCACTGTTCCATGTTGTTGCCATTTGTGGATAATGGCTCTCACTGCGGTTCGCTGGAGTCCCAAAGCTTTAGAAATGCCTTTATAACCTTTACCAGGCTGATAGATCTCACTTACTTTTGTTCTCATTTGTTCTTGAATTTCTTTGGATCTTGGCGTGATGTCTAACTTCTGAGGTGCTTTTGGTCTACGTCTCTGTGTCAGGCAGCTCATATTTAAGTGATTTCTTGATTGAAACAGGTGTGGCAGTAATCAGGCTCGGGGGGGGGGCTACAGAAATTGAACTCAGGTGTGAAACACCACAGTTGGGTTATTTTTTAACAAGGGGGGCAATTACTTTTTCACACAGGGCAATGTAGGTT